ACCTTGAGTATGCGGACGATATTGTCTTACTGTGCGATAATGCCCAAGGCATGCAATCCGCACTTAATCAGTTGGCAATCAGTGTCCGTAGGTATGGTATGTGCTTTGCACCTTCGAAGTGCAAAGTACTTCTACAAGACTGGCAGGATTCCAATCCTGTACTCACCTTGGATGGTGAGCAGATAGAAGTAGTCGAGAAGTTCGTGTATCTGGGTAGCTGCATAAGTGCTGGTGGGGGTGTGAGTGATGAGATCAATGCACGTATAGTGAAAGCCAGAGCGGCTTATGCCAATCTGGGCCACCTTTGGCGCCTTCGTGATGTTAGTCTGGCTGTAAAAGGTCGGATCTACAACGCGTCGGTGAGAGCAGTTTTGCTCTATGCTTGTGAAACCTGGCCTCTCCGAGTTGAGGACGTTAGACGACTCTCTGTGTTCGATCATCGCTGTCTCCGAAGGATTGCTGACATTCAGTGGCAACACCATGTTAGTAATGCAGAGGTTCGGCATCGTGTGTTTGGGCACAGAGATGATAATTCAATTGGTGTCACCATCTTGAAACACCGACTTCGGTGGCTTGGACATGTTCTACGAATGTCGTCCCAGAGAATTCCACGTCGTGCATTGTTTGCCGACTCTGGGACTGGTTGGAAAAAGCGGAGAGGTGGTCAGTGCATGACATGGTGTCGTGGTATGAAAGAAAGCTGCAAAGGACTGGCTTCTGTCGGTCCTTCACGACTCCCTGGTTGGGGTCTGAGAGATGGTGCTACACAGTGGCTAGAGACGTTATCAGATATGGCTCAGAATAGAAGCCAGTGGCGATCCTGCTGTAACCTTCTTTTACTTTCTTCATAAAAAGTGGTTGTGTCTCCCTTACTTGAAAGATTTCTTCCGATTGTACCTTTCCGTTCCATCGTTACGACCGCACTACCTTTCACCAATCTCTTTGTTATCGTTCTCTTTTTCTTTTGTGCTCCTTAGTTTTTTTTCTTTTCTCTCTTCGAATTTTCATTGTTTTGTGTGGCGCATATATATTGGCGCTCTCTTGTACCAATATTTATGTGCTCAAATAAATAAATAAATAAAGTTGGAAAACCCTGATTCCAAACCAATGGTGCACATGAGCCTCAGGATACTAAGGGAACAAATGGCGTATGAACCAATTGTTGGTCACTGGCTACCATGGGACTGCATCTTCCGACGTTGCTCCACTGCCTTGTGGATCAGACCTTTAGGCCGAAGGCTCTGGTTGTGGCTCCCTAAGAAAACCACCTGCTTCGGTTTGGACACCCGAGCACTGTCGCAGCCCTCACACAAATCAAATGAGATTTGTGTGGCGCATATGTATTTGGTGCCTTCTTGTACCAATGTTTGTGTCTAAAAAGATAAACTAGGGACATGGTCAAAATAAGTCTGCTTGGAAAATGGGCTAGTAAACTAACTGTAAGCGAAAAAACACGAGTCAAACGAAGCCTAATATTTCGGATATGTCAAGTGAATTGGAGAGATGCATGAGCAAGAAAAGTACCTTAGTAATTCGAGTACATTTTTAGAATAATTTATAAAACTTAGGAAACCAACAGTAATAAAGTAAATCACTGTCAATGGACGAATGTAAACGTGAACATTATGCACACATTTTCTAGTTTGTGTGACACTACTACCCTGGAAGACTACCTTCATTTAAGCCGTGATTTATCGCTTCTAAATGAAAAGAAAAACGGCCACAACAAACGAGACAAAGTTCACACCTTTCGTTTGACGTTTTTTAGAAATTTTTAGGATGGATGTATGTTTACAATTTTTTAATACACCAAAGGTGAAACTCTAAGTCTAGTCAGAATAAAAACATTTTGATAGTCACATCTCTTACTTCCTAGGCATAAAACAGTACCATGACATGAAGTCCATTCTGAAGTGAAAGTTACACTTTTGTAAAAACGTCAACAGTATTTAGTAAGTTCAAGCAATTTAAGTTAAAAGACAAAAGTTTTAGCTTGTAGTAACGTAAACCAAACACCACACAACGTTAACCGAAATGACTATCAGTAGAAGTCAATTTCACTAGCAAATACTTGATTGTAACATCCAGGTCATAGGATATCGTGCTAGAGTTAGAGTTAATAAGAATACACCACTATCGAATGAAACTCTTCTGATAACGCGAAGAAATTGCTAGCGATCACCCTGAAATGCACTAATGAGTATTCAGGCAAAAAGGTTACATACCACTGAATTACGTCAATCACAAATGCTCTCACATGGTCACACGTATACAACCACTCCCAGGGAAGTCCTACTCACTGCCTTATCGCGGCGAGGAGTGTTGTTTACGAAATTGAGAAGACGAAAAGCGAATTTTCAGAGCTTTAGCAGAGTTGATGGACATGGAGAGTCCTTCTAAGGGAGTTGGAAAACCCTGATTCCAAACCAATGGTGCACATGAGCCTCAGGATACTAAGGGAACAAATGGCGTATGAACCAATTGTTGGTCACTGGCTACCATGGGACTGCATCTTCCGACGTTGCTCCACTGCCTTGTGGATCAGACCTTTAGGCCGAAGGCTCTGGTTGTGGCTCCCTAATAAAACCATCTGCTTCGGTTTGGACACCCGAGAAGTGTCGCAGCCCTCACACAAATCAAATGAGATTTGTGTGGCGCATATGTATTTGGTGCCTTCTGTCCTATTGCTCGTAGTTTTGTCTTAGTATTTAGTTAGTGCTTACAAAGTAATACGTAGTTCAAACGTTGTGACAAAAGCTTTCACTTGAATCAACTGTTTCCATTAGGTTCATTATGTACACGGATACGGGATTTTCATCTATCTACTACCTTTGATACCACCATTATAAGTGTGAAATTATACATTCTTGTTTTAGTCTATACTACCACGCAGCCATTGATAATACTCGCACAAATTAGGTATTCTTTAGAACTAATTTTGCAAGTCCTCGTTTTTTAAGGTTCAGTATCGCTAATTTTCCCGCAACTTAGATTTATCATCTTTAAAATCAGTATATATATATATATATATATATATATATATATATATATATATATATATATATATATATATATATATATATATATATATATATATATAAGGAGAACTGATCTTTCATATTTGACAGGACATATGCTTAATAACTAAAAAAACACCAGTTTTAAACAAATGGAGGTTATAAATCCTGTATTTTTTTTCCTGCCTTCTTTGTACAGTTTTCCGTCAGTTTGATCATAATTCATATGCTTACATACAAATTTTCACTCATAAAATTCCAATAATAGTGCCGTTTGATTTTAATAATAACAATAGTTGATGATTAACCTCATTTGACAGGTATTTAGATAGAAGCCTTACTCTAATTGTGAGCAATAATTATACAACCTGGTTGTGGAAACTGAAATAAATGAAACGCGATTCAAAACTGTAACTTAATGGTTGAAAGTTAAATGCCTTAACCACTAAACCACACCTCCACTTGATATTGTCAAGGAAATCCTTCGGTTCCATGGGTGATGTCTGTCGATGTTATTCACACAAACTAGAAAATGTGTGCATAATGTTCACGTTTACATTCGTCCATTGACAGTGATTTACTTTATTACTGTTGGTTTCCTAAGTTTTATAAATTATTCTAAAAATGTACTCGAATTACTAAGGTACTTTTCTTGCTCATGCATCTCTCCAATTCACTTGACATATCCGAAATATTAGGCTTCGTTTGACTCGTGTTTTTTCGCTTACAGTTAGTTTACTAGCCCATTTTCCAAGCAGACTTATTTTGACCATGTCCCTAGTTTATCTTTTTAGACACAAACATTGGTACAAGAAGGCACCAAATACATATGCGCCACACAAATCTCATTTGATTTGTGTGAGGGCTGCGACAGTGCTCGGGTGTCCAAACCGAAGCAGGTGGTTTTCTTAGGGAGCCACAACCAGAGCCTTCGGCCTAAAGGTCTGATCCACAAGGCAGTGGAGCAACGTCGGAAGATGCAGTCCCATGGTAGCCAGTGACCAACAATTGGTTCATACGCCATTTGTTCCCTTAGTATCCTGGGGCTCATGTGCACCATTGGTTTGGAATCAGGGTTTTCCGACTCCCTTAGAAGGACTCTCCATGTCCATCAACTCTGCTAAAGCTCTGAAAATTCGCTTTTCGTCTTCTCAATTTCGTAAACAACACTCCTCGCCGCGATAAGGCAGTGAGTAGGACTTCCCTGGGAGTGGTTGTATACGTGTGGCCATGTGAGAGCATTTGGGGGGGGTGAGCGGACTCTCCCCACTCTCGGCCGTAACAGGGCATTTGGAGGCCCATTACACGGGTTCCGGTAGAAATATAATCTCAATAATTATATTAACGTATGTAGTCAAAATATTGAAAACCTCTGTACAATATGTTCGCAACAGATACCTAATGAGCTAGTTAATGAAAAACAATCAACCATTCAAGATCTATGGTGAATGGCTACATGATGATCTGCGGAATATGTGTGACACAATAATCACTCGTCTAACCTTATGACGTATACAGTGAGATTTATTTGCTGCATGGGACTTAGCACATGACCATGTAAGCTTGGTTAATTGTTTAATAAATAACAATCCGAATAAGCAACCAAATTTATCCCTACATAAGCTGTGAACCACACCACTATACGACCGCTAAACACAGTGTACGACATATAATGTCGAATTCCAGTATATGACACCCTATTGAATGAGTGTCTGAGTAATAAAACAAACAGCGAACTCATAACAACCAATAAGACAGGATCTACAATACTCCACTCCAGCTATCTTTATGTATTTTGTGGTAAGTAAACTACACTTGACGAATAAGAAATGGATTCTTCTAGATGAGAACCAAATATTTTGTCAACTAACCGAAACAATATAAGGACTATCGATCATCAAATACATCGAAAACTGTACTACAAAAAACATGTAGTTTGCAAAATTTTTCCATTTCCCTTTTTTAAGTGACTGAATAACTTACGTGTCCGTATAATACATCCAAGTCAATTAACTTTTTCCAAATTAAAAATGCTGAAACTTTGTACAATGACTCTGGTGTATTGACACCGGGTTCCTGTAAGAAATGATTAATTGAAAGAATGAGACTTAAAATACTTGTGTAAAATGATATTTGTGTCCCAATATATTAGTCATATCTATTCTATCAGGGTTGTAAAGTCGTATCAACTGGACAAATTCCTCGTACATATCACCACGGAACTCACAAACATCTAATATCAGGTCCAGGACGCGATTTGGATCCAAATCAAAATAACCAATTAATGACCGAATCTGAACCATTACGGCTTCCATCGACGCAGTTGACTTTATTTGACATAATTCTGTGATCAGCTTGGCATAGCCTTCATTTTCTTCACGTAGCAAATTAAATTTTTGTTGTTTGAAAAATAAACGCGTTTTAGTGCGAACATAACGCGTTTGGAACTGTTGTTTCGATTGAATGAATGACAGGTTTTCCAAGGTTTCTTCACAAAACCTCTCCATAATCAAAGCAGGATTCACATGATTCTTCAGAATTTCTATTAACCGATAGAAACGATCTCGAACAGATTCTGAGTTAATATCAGCAATTGACGAGTCTAAATGGGAAGTTTGGGATTTGCAGATATTTTTAAAATACGTATATACTGACCAATTAACCAAAGGGAATCTAACAGGTTGGATTCAAAGGATCCATTACCACCAAATATCTAGTAAAAAAGTAATGAGTTCCAGTAAATTACGTAAAACATACTTTAAATAACTCAGGAACTAATTTGGCAAGTATATCAATTTTCCCTTCTCCATTTATCAACTTCAATACCAAATCCGTGAACAATTTGACAGATGCAACCATTCCACCTTCTTTGCATTTTGTTAGACTGTAACGGAAAACAAACTTGATTCAAGCTGCAGAATCTTGAAACATTAGTTTGAAATATAACCTTAAGGACTTTCCCAAAAACAGATTGTCCAAACGAATCATACGTAATTAGAATGAATTGCTAAATTTCAAACTACGCATGAAGAATATTAACATCATGAAGTCAAAGGTTTTCGAGACCTAATCGCAGCTTCAGAAACATTTAGGTGACTGTTACTACGAAGTAGTTGTACTTGCGAATAAAGTTAGCATCTGATTACGCTTCAAGCAATCCAAATGATTTACAGATAAAAAGCATCATTCAAGTACGTGAATGTACGCTTTGAACTCTAAAACAATTTTCTTATAACCGGTTAACCTTCAAAGTACAATAACAGTAGTGTATGAAGCTAACTCTACTTGGGCCTGCTACATCTCATGGAGAATAGTTTACCAACCTTTGCTAAAACTTAGCTTGAGACTGATAATAGCGCTATTCTTCCGCAGTTGTCGCAGTTGACATGATCCCCTTTCTTTAGTATTCCTTTTTTCAGTTTGTTGGTACTTGTTCTTCCTTCCACATCTTCACAGTTATCTCTATGTTTGGCTTCAGTGCATCGGTATGTATGCTGACGGGTCCTGCTGCTTTTCCACTGGCGGTCATGCTGATCTCTTCGACTGCCGGTGGCCCAGATAGTAGTGTTATCTTTCTGTAGTGGACCACTATCATTCGACACAAAAGTCAACTATCGTATTCAGACTACATTTGGATTAATTGTGCCTCGATTAAACGAAAGCTATTAAAATCTGCTAGTTTATTTTGACAGCTTTAGGCCGCTGAATTACATTATGGCTGTTTTAACAGGATAGGAACAATAAAAGACTATCCTGAGGTTTAAAGCTTACAAGGGATCTAAGAGAACCTAGATGCTAAAGTCAGTTTCTTACGATAAAAACCACGAATTTTCATTCTTATTGACTTTTATATGACGCACTTAAAATTCCACACATTCCAAACACAATATGTGATGTAAACGCAAAGCGAACAGACCACATAGCAAGCATTCCAAGAGGTGAAGGCGCGGATATACGCGCTTACGATGAGGTTAAACGACAAACTTATGACCATTAACCACGAATGGGCAGATATATGAAAATAGAAGAGGCGTATCGCAAATAAACAACCATAAATGAACGTTAATTGAAAACAAAAATCAAGGACGGTATTGTCAAAGTAAAATCAGCATTTTAAATACCCCTTACAAACTGAAAATAACAGTATCAATCTGTTTTTACAGCGCGACAGAACTAGCGCCGAATCAAACTACTAATTTTGTGGTTTCTCCAAAATCACTCACAAATTCTTCCTGCCGAACTTCTCCCAATCCTTCAGACATGATGTCGTAAATATCGGATTGCAGCAGAAAGTAACAAGGTGTTCCATTTCACACAACCCGGCGATATATGACCGTGGGTTGTTTCCCGTAATAGTTGAATGTCCAATAAAAATTTTATAGTCTTTGTGACAAGATTATATAAACCAGTTGATTACTTTACTCTATTTACTCGCTTCTTTTTGAAAATTTCAACCATCGAAATACCAAGATGAAGGTTGGTTGGTAGCAGTTATAGAAATAATAAAGTGAGAACTCAAATGTTAGGGGAAGACGATTGTCACTAGAACTTACTAAACGAATAATTTCAATAATTTGTGGTCCAGGCAGTGTGAGGAGAACGAAGTGTGAAAGCAAAAAGGAAAACGAAGGTGGCAATAAGCAAGGTAGAAATAATTTGATATTATGTGATGATAAAAGTTAAAAGACATACATCAAGCACAGCTGATTCAAGAGGGAGATGGTAATCCAAGGGTGAATATTTGTTCGTCATGTCTCCTCTTGAGGCCTTTCACTGAAGAGGCTTTATTCGGTTCAACCGGCAGAGCATCCCGAATATGTGCAACTCTCAATGAGAAAAAGTGAGAACAAACCCAGGTGTTCTCTCTTCCACGTGCAATTTTCCGAGGGTTGCCTCGAGGAGCGTGGCGATTATGTTCTGATAATATGCTCGTGTTGGGGTGGCTTGGCGCATTCAATATTTTGTATTTCGTTATCGAATCACCTTCTATTCTCCTATAGCTCGACGAGAATAATCCCTAGAGCTGGGATTTGTCCTTATAAGATTTGTGTTTCAGCTATATCACCTGTTTGATTGCTCATCTCTGTACATGATCTAATAGACTTACATCTCTCTAGAGGAAAATGAGGAATTGTCTTGTACATGAACGCGTGTTATATCAGTTGTGGTTCAGAGGCGTTTTTGCTTCAATGACACAGAGTGGGATAGCTATTAGATAGATTCTCTCACTATCTCCCAGTGGTCATCTACTCTCAGCTTCCACTACTATTGTGGTCATGGGGTGATTTCAAAGTGTTTACTCATGATCTCGTGGTCTCCCTTACTGTAGCAAAAGCGGGGAATATTCTCGTCTTTCTGAAGACCCTTGTTTGTGACCAGGTTGATGATGTTTGTACATTTGATTTTGCTGGATAAGTCTTGGTAGAGCTGTAACATCCCTAAAGAGCTTCATCTGGATCCTCTAGATTCCTAACGTTTAAACCCATCACACGCAGAGAACTAGTGTTCGTGAGGTGTAAAAAATAGGGTGGCCAAGACTTACTAATTGCCATAGTACCGTGAAGACTAATGCTACGTGATAAGCAACGCCGCCATCTCATGTCGTGTCCATGATCTAATCCCCGACACTGGTACAATATATATTATCAAGCAGTTTCATCTCACTTTTCTGTACTCGCGTTATGACGTCATGTTAGCCATTTTGTTGCCATAAATTTCCTAACGCCTACTCATTGTTCCTTACCGTTATCAGTGACTGAATTTTATGCAACAGTCGGTAACTTTAATAAAGTATGGATATGGGTTGTTACTTACTCGATTGTGTTTCTCTTTGCGGCTGTATTGGATGAGTTATTTACAGTATTGAGGATAGATACGTTTGTTTCCGATGGGGTCCCATGTCTCTCCTTTATTATTTCCGATGATATGAGCATTCCACCAAAACAACTTAAAAAAGTGACTCGTATGGACCTATTTTACTGGCCAGCTGCATCAGTATCACAGCGATTGTGGACTTAGCCATCACGGAAGTTCCTTTAAATGTCGAGTCGTAGTAGTTGAAGTTAAAAGAGGGATTAATAACAGTCTGTGTATATTCAGCCGCGCTTACCAGTGTTGGTGCTTGGAGTGGAGTTGTTGCGCTCTAGAGGCTATCAAAAGAACAATGAAAATCTCGGTATTGGTATACTAAGAGAGAGATTAAAAAGAAGGTGGAAGTAACCGATCGGGAACTAGAATGAAGTAGACTATAATCCAACTGAGTGATCTGGCGTATTCTTCACCCGCATTTCTTTTTTGCTCGCCAGTCTTACTAGGAATGCGTACCCGAGTAGTGGTGAAATACTGATTGGTTGGGAATCTAGTTTGGTCGTTTGAGTTGAGCGATCCATATCGTACACATTACCCTGGGATTTTTTTGGTGTTATCTTGAGTCCTATTATAATCCTATTGTTAGAAATGGGAATATTCATTTTATTATTAAACCTTCATTTAAGACTCTAATCCCTGCTAGTCATCCTTGCGGTTATAGTGCGAGTACTGGTTGTCATATAAGAACAATGAATAAATAAATGACAACTGATTGGTGTCATTTGTGGATTATTATTACTGATATCCTTATTTCATAATTAATGAAAGACTAGATTTTAAATATATTCCTTTTGTCATAAGCTTTCAGTCGAATCTACTGGCTATTGTAATACAATATATCATCCTTAACTTTCAATTTATTTGAAGTAGTAGTATTCCATGCTTTCAGCTATTTTTGAGTTCATCTTGTATATTATTTTTCAATTTAGGATATGATGCGGCCTGGTCTGCTTGCATACAAACTACGTATGTCAGAAATGTTCAACTCATACAGCTCACGCTTATATTTTTTTATGGACTGAATGGGTTGGTTTAGGCTAGAAGCTACTGTACTATGGACAAATAAGGATTCAATGTTTAATCAAGGTTACTAATGATGTTTGAAGCATCACCCGTTTAGCACAAAGACAAAGTCATAGTAATCGATATAACAGCTGGCGATTTTATCACATAGCATTTAACGGGCCATAGGAAATAACACTGGCGGAAACTCCATTACGACAAATGCTACTCAATAGACCGAAATGTAAAATGTAAGACTATTTAAGAGGGAGGTATGTGATTCAAAAGTTTCAGAGGAGGAAACTAATAAAGATAAGCAAATTTATGCTACACGGTAACTGAATCTGAAAACACTTAAAATTGCAGCTATACCCATGAACATCATAGCAAGCAACTGGGTGCACATCCAGTAACTTCCACAGGCCCATTGTTTTTACGTAAACACGTGTATATCTCACTTGACGCAACTAGGAAAAGAGTAGTTGGTCTAGACAGCTAGGCGAACCGCACAGTGGTTCAACCTTGACATGTTTATGGCTGTTCGATTTATTATCGTGCTTTTCCTGCGCAAGGAAAGTCGTAGTGTGTCATTAAAAGTGTTTAAATATTACAATCTGGCTGTGGAAACTGGACAGTTTTCTCTATTTGTGAGGTATCAGCGCGAGCAAGTCAGACTCGAAGAGTAAAATTTACAGGTCCTTATACAGCTCAATAAACGGGATATTTAAACGATCGGCTGTAAGTCACTTAGCATATTTGCACCCGTTTTCCGGTGATTGTGGCCCGGTGCTACGTTCATAACATGTTTCTGATAAAGCAAATACATGCAGCTTTTCAGGCACCGTCAAATGTTCATACAAATGTTTCCAACAAAAGTTCGCAGATACGGCGCAAATCCAACAGATATTTTGAAAGACAAAATAATAAATAGTGAAAATTTTGCAACAGGGTGTTCAGGTAAATTTACCCGCTAAGTATTTACGTAATAGTATTGCGTCATGAGTTTGTACTTCTTATAAGGTAATAGTTGGATTGCTCTTTGTATAAGCTGCTTTCTTCATAGTAGTGTGGTAAACTGAATGGATATCCAAGCCACAATACAGAAGCTCTAACCATCTCATTTGCTTGTAACATGGAACTAGTAGAGACAGTGTATCCCAATAATGAGTTAAGACCAAGGGAATATTCATACGCATCACAAACGTAAGAGATCCTAACATCACAAAAGGAGATGGGTGGCGTTTCTGACCAGAAAACATGATGATGAAGAGATAATATCAGAAGGGGCTTGTGGAGATTTTAGAAATTTCACGGATTGAAATCATGAGTCAGTTGAAGCCAGACCACCATGGAAAACCTGGACGGCCGTTTCGTCCTAGTATGGGATTGATTGAAGTTAGATATTAACACCGTTGGATGCCGGTTCAGTGGTCTAATGTCAAGGGCTCACGGGCGAAACCAGCAGATCCTGGGCTTGAATACGGCGGGGTGCAGGATCGTTGATGCGCATTACTGAGGAGTCCCATACTAAAAACGAAACGGCTGTCCAGTGCTTCCAGGTTTTCTATGATGGTCTAGCTTCAACTGACTCATGATTTTAATCTGTGAAGGGATAATAATAATAATTTATTCTCAAATAACATTTTGTTACATGAGGCATGACAGTTTACAGGCAAAATCAAATTGTTACAAATGATACAATTTCCATTGTAGTAAATTACTCAGCTGGGTTGATAATTTATAAGGTATGAATGTAGATGGTTTTAGTCAGTATCACAGTTGGCGCGCTTTATGAAAGTTGCGTTGTGACGTGCAACTGATGGTTGAGAATTGATCCTTCGAAGTTGAAAGCTTCTAGAAATCGCAACCTTATATCCCTTTGAAACATCTGAGGCCTCAATGACGGTGCCGGACGAAGTCACCCGTTCCATATTTGTTTCCAGTGGCATATCTCAAGGGGGCTGAAAAACGGTGCAAGAAAAAGAAAGGACGAGAAGTAGAGCAGACAATTTTCATGAAGGAATAGTTAAGGTATGACTACTCAGTGTAATTCTCTTTTATTAAAGTATTTATTAAGCAGGAGCATTCTAATAGGTTAAAGAAAATAAGTGTAAACAAGATATGAGTAGATAAACGACTGTCAAATGGAGGCGGTTCGGAAAGGAGCTGAGAGTATGGGATTATGTGTAGTTATAAAATATAGGGCTAAAAACAGTATCATGATTCACGAATAACCGTTTTTTGTCAAAGCTATTGAAGCTCTTTTTAGGTTTTATACGGTTTTTATTAGGCTTCGTTTTTAGCGAATTGTCTAGTTTGCTTGTTATAGGATTACTGGGTAGGAAATGAAACCAATTCAACACGATTTAATAAGGAATTTTGCATTAGAAATCAGCATCAATACCATTAGTTCGTGACATTCCACTAGACCATAAGGAG